CCATTTTATATTATCATATATCTCTTAGAATTTTTACATCGACAATTTATATAATTAAAAACTGACATTCTTTTCTCAACAAAGGGCCACAATTAGCTGGCCCATTAGTTTAGTCTCTACATCAACAAAGAGCGTCAAAGCTGAATTCGGTCCCGATTATGATCATATTTGTATCCAGTGAATTTACAACTGTCACTATGTCATTTCACAACTTAAAATGGAACTTTATCTATTTGAAATGGAATGTTTGGATTTTCTATCTAAAATAATTGTGTGCGTAATATTATCTGTCACTAAATCTGTGTTTTAGTTTTTTCTTAAAAATTGATTTATATTGCTTTCTAATAAATTATAAAACGTTCAGTTAATTATTATCGTTTTCTAATAATTTCAGCTTATAAAATTAAAATTTTACTAACATAAAAAATATTTACACATTCCAAAATTTATATTTCGTACTTATTTTTCATTGAATCTATATATATCTTTATTTACAGTTTCGATGAAAACAGAAAACAAAAGTTTACCTATTTATTTATTTGATAAATAATTCTATATAAAATAGTTAGAAATAAAAATTTACTAGAGTTATCAAATTACGGCCACATTCGTAGTTTTCACACCAAAAAATTCTCATTGAAATTAATAAAACTATTATTTTATGTCACCAAAATATTTCAGGTTTTAGTTTTCGAACCAAGGACAAATTAGTCCTTCTATTTTCCTCATAATTCAAACTTAACCTAATCTACTTGTTCCCTTGAAACTCCTCTTCTATATATAACGCCTTCTTATCTTTAGTGTCTCTCACAAACCACTCTTTCTCAAGCAGTCTCTCTCATTTTTCTCTCCATCGAAACGCATCGCTTCACGTGAAAATGCATCCGTCCGACGTTCCAGCAACAGTGGTGGAGAAGAAAAAAGACAAGGAGAGGCCAAGTGTGTCAGTGTTTAAGCTCTTCTCCTTTGCTGATTTCTATGATTGCGTTTTGATGGCTCTTGGATCCATTGGTGCGTGTCTTCATGGAGCTTCCGTTCCGGTCTTTTTCATCTTCTTCGGCAAACTCATCAACATCATCGGTCTTGCTTACCTCTTCCCACAAGAAGCTTCTCACAAAGTCGCCAAGGTTTATACATTTTCATTATCATTTATCGATTTGTCTAAAAGGTCTTAGGGTTTTGTTCAAAATCCTCGATATGAGTAAATATGAACTTTGAAAAACGTGTCAAATCTATTTTCCTTTAGTTTTATAT